GGGCCGGCCCAGAGCCTCGGCCAAGCGCCGCGCCAGGGCGGCAGGACTTCTCCTCCACCTTTCCTTCCCATCAGCAGCCCTGTGCCGCATCCCAGTCTCCAAGAGGAGCTCCCGGTCCTGTGGACTCCCGCTCGGGAGGGTGATGGTGCCCCCAGACATCATCCCAGGGAGGATTCACCTTTTGTTTTGGCGGGACCGCACCACACTGGGGCCAGAATTCAGCCTGCGGAGGAGCAGGCAATGGGAGAGGGAGAGACCAGGAGCATTTCTGAGGGGTTCACCCAGCCCTGGAGCGGGCAGCCGGAGCGGGGCTGCTCTGCCCTGGCACTGCCAGCAGCTCTGTCCCTGCCTACGGGGAGGTGGGAGCTCGAGGGCGAGGGCCATACCCTGCTGTCACCCCTGGGCGCTTCCCAGCACAGCAGAGCTGTGCTGAGGGGACAGCGTGGAGCACAAAGGATGCACCCACAGCACCTCAGGGGATGGGCAGGAACAAGCAGTGACATAAACTCATCTTCAGCTGCCGTTCTCCTGCAGGGCATCACTACAAACAACAGTCAAAAAGCCAAAAATCCCCTGTTTCAACACTGATGCAAAAGTGATGGCCGTGCCCTACAGCAGCCTGGCCAGACCCTGGCTCAGAAGACCAGCAACCTGCCCTGCCAACAGCCTGCCAGACGTGGGGACATCCTAACCATGCCCCCGTGCTGCTTGGATGAAATCTGCCAGGGCACTGCCTCCTCTGGGGAGCAGGAGAGCCATGGAGGCCATTCAGCCTTCGCTGGAGGCAGGTGTCCTCCCCGTGTCCCCTCCAAAGGTCAGCCTGTGCCAGGGGACAGGAGCTGGCCAAATGTGGAGATGGGTCTGGAAACGCCGCCGAGCACTGTGCTGGGGCAGAGGCAAGCTAGGGAGAGTGCAGAGCCTTTGCCGTGCCTGTGACCTGGCCAGGGGGTCCCAAGGAGGTTTGCCTTTTTAATAAAAATATCAGGAAAGAGGAAAAGGAAAGAAAAAAAGAACAAATCCCAGGAGTCAGCCTGCCTGAGCTGCCACCCTGTGGCTGGTCCCAGGTTTTTCTGTGCTGGAGGAAAGGCCCAGCCTCAGCTGTGTCCGGGTGCTCCCCGGGAGCGTGGCAGGAGGCAGATCCCCCCTCCAGCCCCTCTGGGGTGGTTGCTGTCCCTCGCCAAGCCCCGGTTCCTTGCCACTGGGCGGGCATCAGGCCAGGCGCCGGGGGCGATAGTGGAGGGGGTCCGTATGGCCATGGCAGCTCTGAGGCCGCTTGCATGCCAGGGGCTGCTGCTGGGCACCTCGGGCCCTCCCTTGAGCCCCATCCAGCCCTTCCCACCTCCCCTGCCCCTGCCCCGGGCTCCCCGTGTAATCCTTCTCCCCTACCTCCACGTGTCCTGGCAAAGGTCCTGACAGAGGTACAGCAACAACCCCCCCACTGCATGTCCCCCTCCCACTAATGCAACAGGGGTCCCTCAACTCGGACCAGCCTTTGGCTTGTGGCAGATGCCCAAGGGGTTGGACATGCGCTCAGGGGCCCGATGGCTGGAGCCGGGCAAGAGGCTTTTGAAGTCCAACAGTATTGTATTGGGTTTGCGTGGCAAGGTTTTGGTAGGGGGGGGGCACGGGG